TGCCTTAATCCAAGCTTTTTCTTCTTATTTTCGTAGAATAAAATGATAACCCCACATCAAATTTTAACATTACAGACTGCTCTCATTGGCTGTATAAATCTACGATTATTTACTCTTAAGATTTCTATCCTGCAATATATAATCGTGCAATGACGACTAAAGGCAACATCAAGGGGCTAGATGTGTTAGGCAATGAGGTGCTTTGGAGTTCTCGCGGGGAACAGGTGATGATGCAGTGGGAGAGACACTACATGGAGTTATGTGTTGATGCACTGTCCATTCGACCAACTGATCGTGTGCTAGAGATCGGCTTCGGGCTGGCTTATTCGAGCACTCACATCCAAAAGTTTCACCCTCGAACCCATACCATCATTGAATGCGATTTGGAGACATTAAGGCGCGCTCAAGAATTTGCAAAACGACATTGCGGAGTGAAAGTTGTTGCTGGAACGTGGCAGCAGTGTCTGCCCACCCTGGACATTTTCGACTGCGTCTTCTTCGATGATTACCCGTTACCAGAGCTAGAACAAATAAACAATCGTATTAGAGAAGAAACAGCCAGTGGAAAGCGGTGAGCTGACTGTGCGGGATGACAAAACAAGAAAAGGTTTAAAATGTGGTCTACTATTTCCTTGGTTGCAGGTCACGGTGGCACGACTTTTTAGATGTCGCTTTGAAGCACTGTACTGGTGGAGCGAGAATCTCAGGGTATTTGGCACGAGAAGTCGCTTTACAACGCCCTGGGTGTCAAGTCAAGGTCACAAGAGTGAAAGTTGACGTACCAGAAAACTGCAGCTATTTTCCGTACAAGGAAGCGTTGGTGCCGGTGATCACGGTTGTGGATCCGATTACTGCTGCCACGCTGATTGATGCCAAAGCTATTGCTTTACTTCCACTGCCACACCTGTCAAAAAAATTTCAGCGGGCATTTGAGCGTCCAAGTAGCTTGGAAATAACACTGCAGAAAGGTGCTCCAGAGTGGCGTAAAAAGGTTGTTGACATTCGAAATTTTCTATTGGAAGACGAAGTGGATGTGGCTATCGACAATCAGCGAAACGATATAGGTGGTAGTTGTACCATCGATAGTGACATGACTTCAGCTTTATACAAAAGAGGAGACTCGAGACTCAATTATTTGTGCGCACTTAAAACCAAAGCTGCTGCTTCAAAGGACGTGATCAAGAAACGATTACATGATCCTTAGTTGCTATAGCTTGACGGCAAATTGTCAGCAGCTCAAGCTACCTACTAAGCACGTCCGATACGCTTAGAATCCCTTTTTGACTTGAGTAAGAAGCATACAATATAACTGCAAATTATCTGAATCGAAAAACAGATTGTCACTTATACTTTTGCACTGGCAACCACGATAATAAGCTAAGGCAATAGCTTACAATTCATGCAGTGAAAGGTTAGCTATCAAATGTTGGAAAGCAAAATTAGCATTTGTTTTCAAAACTATCGCTTGTCTCAGAATTCAAGGAACAGTCTGTTAAGATCAAAGACACCCTTCAACAATTCAGAAACTGATCTTGGTACAGCCTTGTGTCTACGTTTAATCGCTACAAATGTACTGCACATCAGGGCTTTAAGCTTTGGATACTTAACTTCACCTTCGATTTGTCATATGCTTCCAATCGACCGTTCAAGACAGCTCGAAAACAAAATAGCTTCAGACAAAGTAACTGGATTGACTGAATAATTCAGACCAAATTTACACGTGATTAAATAAGATGTATTGTAAATAGTTTCGATCTTTATGCAAGGTTCAACACCTGTCCAAGGTCAGCATTCACTTTTATTTTGCTTTTGTCGTATGTATCTTCATTCCTACTTGGTCAAGCGTCTTTATTTTCTCATGATTATGTACCGAGATGCTTAACACTTCAGAGCAGTATAGAATGCTCACCATCAGTGCTGCTGGTCAACTTTTCAGTCAGAACTTGGGTCTCTTGGCATAAAAACTTCTGGCTCTATATTCCATCGAATCTACCGAATTCCTACAGAGCATTTGATATGGAAATATATAATGAATCGTATGGAATCTGTGAACCCGAAACCCACATGAAAGAGCCAGCAATACCGCGGAAATATATTAGGTACTCTTAACCTCTTAAAATGATGTATCAATCCCTATCTCGAAAATCGATCTTGGTCAACAAAATGCTGCGTCATCCCCTAAACTTCCGGCAGTGTCCAGTCATAAAAACTTTTGATTTAGTAGATACAGAAAATTTATTGCCTCCAGAAATTTTTATAGCAAGCGAAGTAGACCGCACTTAGTAGATGAGGCTCTAATTTTCGTTGCCTGTTGGAGCGCTACAAGATGTGTAGCTACTTTCACAAAACCAGATGATTTGGATAGCCAGGCAGTCGCTAGCCCGTTATTAAATTCAACAGAGAACACGCTGATAATAAAAGACGGATTCAGGGTGCACAGAAACAGTTTGTGTGTGATGAAATATTTCAAGAGTGTGAACTCGAATAATCTTTGACTGATCTAGTTTCAATATCTGATGTAACATAATATCCTATTCATGGTTAATGAAAAAGTCAATACGGGGATCATCGGCCGAGTATTCTTATAAGAGTAGGGTAAGCAATAATTCATTCCACTATTGGAGCAGAGCACAGATGATGAGAATATCTCACGGCTTTGCATCCAATCACCTTTTGAACTTGATAATTAATAACTTTATGTATTTTAGTAGAATTAAACTTAATAAAATAAAAGTGCAGAGGGTTGGTGCTCTTAGAACCTCTTACATATAATTTTTTTCCTTTAAAAAACTGATGCAATATACATAAATGCTAAAAAATAATATGCACTTGAAATGCTCTTTGATTTGCGTCCCAAGATTCACTGTCCTAGATTCAATACAAATTTCAAGTTCAAACTGAATGTCTGTGTGATGTAGTCGGTATTGAGGCGGTCAAACACATGCTTCACTGAGCAAGCCAAAGGCGCTCGTAAAAGAGGCTAACGGCTTCATAAACTTGGCGATTCGGTTTAGGAGCAACGCACTCTTCGATCAGCGCGTTATTTATTGGGGCGATCCTCGCCTCGAAGAGAATGACGAGGATACACATGGTACTGACCTGCGCAGTTGCGATGGTCGTATGTGCACATACATTCGCGCATTCGTCTGTCATCATCGGAAGCGTATCGTCAGTACCATTTGGAGCTAAGGAAGCTGCAAACATTATGACGAATGATGCCATGACAAAGTTTCACAAGTTTTTAAGCTCGACGAGATCGACCGCTAAACAGGATAGGATGGATGAGTCCTCAGAAAGCGAAGATAACGACTCTTCCGACAGCGACTCATCAGAAGGCGTTGGCAAATATCATTCCTCTCGCAACAGCTCCGCTAAAAGCGATTCTTCTGACAGCGATGATGTCAGCGACTCTTCTGACAGTGTTGATGACAGCGATTCTTCTGACAGCGATTCTTCTGACAGCGTTGATGACAGAAATGTCAGCGACGCCTCTCCCATTATTTCTGTCGGTCATGTGCTAAATGTGACTAGTACTATCAGGTCTAGATACAAAAACTGGATAGGAAGCGCACTTGGCGCTGCAGCCGATACGGCGTGTTATCGGAAGACGCACATTGCTAAGGTTTGTCCACTGGGTTATGATGCAAAGCTCGGAACGTGCTGGGCACAGTGTCCGTACAATTTTCCCGTCGAGTGTGGCATGGAATGCATCCGGCAAAATGATGACTGCGCTTTGGAGGTGATTAGTAAAATTTCTATGGTTGGTCAGGCAGTATTCTCTCTGGCTGCGTACAATGTGTATGGGAAGTTCACGGCAATGGCAAAAGCTATGCAACAAGCTTTTAAGTGTGTTAAAGAAATGATGGGATTGGTAAAAGCGTTATCGAAGTATATTCGAAATGTCGAAGTGACAAACCCAAATACACCTCAGGATAAGCTGATCTTGATGCTGTATCAGACGGACAATGTGGTTTTTGATATACCGGTCACTATCATGTCGTGTCTTGGAATTAAAGTTGAGGAAGAATTTAAGTTTAAGGATAGGTTTGTGAACACCGTTGAGATTATTGTGAGAGACATACTTGCCAATAAAGCCACTATCACTTCCAGCTGGAGCACATTCACGAATTTTATGAAAAACGCTACTCTTGGATCGATGATTGACGCTTTGAATTCGACCGAAATTACGTCGTTGCAGTCGGCGCTGAAATCTGATTCAACATGCGGGTACGATATGAAGCGTCTGCTGGACCGAACGTGGATGACAGTGGCAGAACTGCGTCGAAAGGACCCATATATCTCCGAAGACGACATTCGTGTTGCTATGAGCAAGTCTGATCTAGTGTTGTATGAAATTGCAATTGTGACAAATAATTGCATGCCTGAACTGATTGCTGAGTCCGACGTGGCAACGGCATATGCTACGCGGGACACGCTGCGCAAGGGATTCGGAAATATAGTGGACGACTTGATCAGTTCGGGGACGAGCAGCAATGGCACGCTCCTAACAGCTAAGGAGTACGCGTACACTATCGCTAACAAGGCAGCAACTTTTTACGCTGTTTGGGATAAAAGTAACGTAGGCGGTGCAATCTCCGAGTTTCTCCAGACCATTTGTGGTCCTACGGAGTTTATTGGTGAAATTGATGATGGCACTGCCGAACAAGCGCTGGGATTAAAGATTGTGAAGGACGCTTTTAAAAACAGTACTGGCAATTGGACGAAGTATGGGGACGGCTCTGTTACTATCACATTTAAGAGTGTGGATGTGAAGGATGTAACTGTGAATATCAAGTCTGGTGGTAACTTAATTGATGAAGTGGATGTTGCTGCTGGCACGACTGTAACATGGTCATCGAACGTGACAGTATTAGGCGGTAAGACGCTGTACCTGGACCGCTGGCGTCCCAAATTTTTAGGACTCCCCGGTAAAAGAGGGGGTTCACTGTTGTTATGGGTGCCTCGGTCAACGAAAGGTGGCAACTTGCAGCTCACTGTGAAGATCAACGTGAGCTGATAAAACTATAGCGTTAGAAGATAGAGATTTCCGTTATCGTGGTAAATATTTAAGGTGAAAGTAATTATGTAAGAATAGGAATATATACAGGGATTCATGACAGAAATCTTGCTCCTCCTTCGCATTTGTTCGGCCTTGTAGAAGATCTATTGTTGTATAGAAATTTATCTCACACCCAGCAAAATGCCGAGGTGGAGATTAGCTTGAGCTGTCAATTCTTGCACAATGCGTCAATTGTTAGATCAGCTCAAAGCACGCTGATCCGATCTTCTCATCGGATTTGAACTCTCTTTGATTGTACTTTATATGAAGGTTTTTGCTCTATGGCATCTTTCGGAATACGTACACTTTCCGATCCCCTTTATACCAACCTCACAACCCTAAAATATCACCGCATAGTCCTTTTTAAAAATATTATATGTCCTAAAGAATCGTACAAAAATTGACCCGGGTAATTCTGTTACTATTGATTTAGCTATGCATGTGATAAAATTAGCTGGCTAAAAGCCGATGGTATAAGAAGTTCGTCGTCTGGTGCCAGTCTTTCTGTGTAACGAGAACCAGAATACTAAACAATGACGCTCAAATTATCATGACAGACCACAATACGCTCGTCTTCCACTTTGGCTCCTCGAACTTCTTTTGTCGAAAGGTCCTCAAACCTTTCAAAAAATGGTTGGACCCGGTTTAGAGTTCGCCTAAATATCGGTCAGCGATTCGGGTCTGCCAGTTTGACTTGATGCCTTGCCTCAAGCGCTTTAGTTTATGTCGCTTTTTCGAGCATCCTGTCCACTAGTCACCTTAAATCGATGAATCTAGCTACCGGGAATAAGTTGACAGCCATAGATCGATATAATGACCAAATTTGAGTGAGTGAGTAGCTTATCAATGTCATCGCCAAGCTTCAGCTGCATAAAACGTGCGCCCAATCATGATGAGCTCACCGCCAAAGTGCACTTTTGCGATTGCTATATCTTTTATTTCATTTTAGACATCATCTGTGCAGCACAAAGCAAGACACCAAGGTAAATATGTCATTAATTTGCACCACTAGCTCAATCGCTAGTCTATATTGGCCAAATTATCGTACACCATTCTTGCCCGAGAATTTATCGACAGATTCGTATTGCTGAACACGTCGTCCAGATTAGTTTCGCGATGACCCGCGAAGAGTTGAATGAAGAAGATCGTATCCCTCTTGTTAGCTACAGGAATATTGAACTTTGCTATTATCGGCCTGGTAGCCTTGTAGTTTGGATTTGCGCCGCCAAAGATTTTGTGCAAGGGTCAACGCTCCAAGTGAGAGACACATTTTTAGGTTGGCGGTGTCCCGCTCGAACGTATTGATATGAAACGTTACCACGTGAGCAGCCTTGTCATCTCAAGAAGAATTCGCCTGCCTTGTCGAGCTCTTATAGGGTGGTATCATCGTTGTTCCGTGACTGCCAAAGTATTTCTGCTCGAACACCAATTCAAATCAATCAAAGAATTTTCGCCACCGGTACAACTCCAAACTTTTCTGTACGAATGTCCATAGTTTACACAAGTTTCCACTTTAAAATAGACAGAATATTTAATCATGTCCAGCATTTTTTTTTCGATTTAGGAGAGAGCCAACATTCGAAGTCTCAATGTGAAATGCTGTCACATGTGAAGAGCATTCATGGTACATTTAACTGATTAATTCTGCACACACTCATACTATTATATAACCTTACAATTTCTTATCATAAATGTTTTTACTGACTGAAACGCCATGTGTTCCACGGATCTCTCCTTTGAGGAGTTCCATCATCTTCATAAATACCAGAGACGGCAAAACCATTCCAGCCCATTTTGGGTTTATGGGCTGTTTGAATCGCAAATTTCATTAAGTCCGAAAAAAATCGGGTTCAGTAAAGGGTCAAGATGACATCATTCATCGCAGATAGCTTCTACACCATCAGTTCAACTATCCTGATATTCTTTTCCATCAGAACAGCCATATCAGAAGCTTGCGGTAGCGTGCTGACCTTAGGAGCGTTGGTCTTGATGGAGATTAACTGTTTGAATTTAGCGGGGCTGTCGTAGCTCTTTGCTGGAGGAAGCTTACTAAGGTCACCATCCTTACGTTCTATACTAGAACCACTATGAGTGTAGCGGATCGCAATTCACTACCTCCAAGAGTACTCAGAACCTTATCCCAGACCAAATACACTATTTCGTCCAAAATTGTAACAGTATTTATCTGTTTCGTTTGCGGTAAAGCCGGACTTCTTTACAGTCAGAAATGGTCGTGAGCAAATTCTCGAATGGGTAACCATCGAAGTGTCTGCGATAGCTCTTCCTCGCTTGGTTTTGATGGCTGCAAAAATGCCCTCCACAAGTAAATGCAGACTGTGGCTCACGCGCCCATCAAAGGTATTTTGACTACAACAATGATTTTAGTGGCAGAATTATTGGTCACTACTCCGCTAACAGAAAAACCATGAGTTGTTTGGACTTCAATGACACGACTTGAATCGTGAGCAATGAATTAAGGCGTATGACCCTGGTCTTGCTTACAGATGTTATCCAGAAACAACGACAAGCCGCCTAATAATAAATGTAATTCAGAATTGATTCAATCTTTAAGTTTGACCACCCATTTGTAGTCAAGCAGTAAAATGTTGTGCTGGATGCCTGCAACTGTCTGCAAACTTGCGAGCTAACCATCCCAAATGAGTTCTGCAGCGAAAGGCCCGCAAGTGTTTCCAATCAGGGAGAACCACATCAGACCGACGTAGCAGAAACGCTATTCGCAAACTTTCTTCGTCAATACGGTGGAAAGATAATCCAGTTATATAATAGAGCATGGCAATTAACTGACTGATTTTTTCTTGTTTCTTTTTAGAGAGACTCGACTTTTGTTTGTCCAATGATTTGCAATTGATCCACGCTGCTTTCTCTTCTTCGAGCGCAACGCGACAAGCCATTCATGATGCTCTTCAACTTCCCGCAGCATAATGGACCTTAAAACGATTTATATTTACTAAGTCGATAAGTGATGCATGCTTTGCAGTGCTTACAGGTAGCAGACTGTACTTTCTGCGGTTGCGATGAGTTAGTAGATACACTTCAAACGTCGGCGACTTTCTTCTTCCCCAGTGTTGCACTCTCCGGCAAGATCAACGGATGACCGTCAAGGGTAAGATCAATAGAGACATCTGCTTGGTCGGGGTCTGTCATTGCTCAAGCTATCAAGCGGGTAAAAGGCTACCAGTCGCTATAGTGATGTCAGGAACACAAGATGGAGGAGAATACGACAGAGAAAGATTGTAAAGTCCGCTGTTTATCATAAAACTTCCAAACCCAAATTTTCCATAAGAATGAGAAAAAGGTTTGTGATGAAACCCCCAAAATCCAAGCCCAGATAATCCAACCTCCTTCATACCTGATAACTCCCGAAGCTTTAAGCTTATAAATGCTTACAATTGAATCTAACGGAATATAATTTTTGTGCAATTGTACAGTATTGAGTGAATATATAATTGTAACTAATGTGTAGGGGGTGTTCAGAACATGAGATTACTTACCCGTTACATTCTCCACGTTACGAAGTGGACCACACTGACGTTCGCACTTCTTTCGTTTCTCAGACACACAAAAAGAATAAGCTAATCATGCAACCGTTGTACTTAAAGTCTAAATTGCCTTTTCCACTTCTCCACGCCTGCTCTTTCAAGCATATTTGCGCCGGAAGCCCCGTCCCGTGAACCCAAATGAATGGCTCACCGAGCCTCTAGAATATGCGCGGTCCTTGTGACCGACGCATCGATACTATTATCGGTGAGGATGCCGAGGTTCTCTCAGATGAATACGGCCACAGTGACTCTCCGAGTTTTGATCATACACCTCCGCTGTCACACGAGCTCATCACCAACAAGCTTGACATGTCTCGGGAAAATCAGTTTGCTCAACTAAAAGAGGAATGCTGAATCATCGTGTCGTTACTACGGTGCTGAGTCGTCTGCATTTGTTCGCCGAGCTATTACGCGTCTATTTATGCGGGTCATTTCTTACACTTATAGCAAACAGAGTGCGAGAAAGTCGCTCAGCGAGTACTTTCTCAACCATCAGGTCAACATTCCCCAGTAAAATACCTGTACATAAAGCTGCTGGGATTAGGAGAATTCGAACTCCCTATGAGGATTACTCCTGAGTATTTGGAATGCCAACGACTGTCATACTTAGCTTGCGCATTGGATGAGGAAATCGCGTCGCCTCTTAACTTCAAGGCATAACCAGCCATCTTCAGCGAAGTGGATGTTCAGCACGAGGTCCTCTTACGCTTGGTTTGCAGAGCAACAGCGTGTGGCGCTATCTATATCCGAAGTCGAAGTCGAGCGCGGGAATGGGCACTAATGTGCGGTGCTTCGGTTGATGCTGCGTTCTCCTCCTGGAAGGAGCAGAAGCGTCAGCTTCTGTGAGTGTACTCGCCGCCTAATCAGGCATATCGCGATCGATTGCGTTTCTTTGCTGCCCGACAGGGCAAGAAGGATTTGGTGGACTTTGTACAAGGTTTGAGAGCTCTTATTGCCTGGATGGCAGCAGATTCGCACCCCGAGGCGGTCGTAGTGACCATCTTTATGAAGGGCCTTCGTACTGGCGTGGCCAGAATGGAAGTCTTCCGTGTACATCCGTCTTCTTTTGAAGAAGCGGTGAACGTGGCATTGAATGCCGAATTCAACTTGGCCGAAATGCACACCCTCAAAGCCCGTCGAGCGGACTTGAGCCAATGGATCTCACCTATGCTGAGAAAGAGGAGTGAGAGCTCCGAGCTGTTGAGTCAGCGTGTAAATACTTGAAAGTGGAGACACCCCTCATTAACGGATGGGTTGTCCCTTGCGCATGGCACGTAAAGGTTTGTCGAGTCGACATCCTGCTTCCAACCAGTCTGGTTAGACGCGGGGAAAAAAGAGAGCCCTACTGGGGGCACAACTGAGTTCTGTTGAGCCTCAAAGAGGTGGAAGGCAGCAGGG